ATCATAGGGGAGAAGAGACTCACAGCTGCTCCAAGTCCTAGCACAACTGCTGGAGAAAGAGGAGCCTGTCATGGATGGGCAGGAAGAAACCAGCTAAATTTTCAACAACATGGGAGCTTCTGTGTAAATTATAATGGAGATGAACTCTACTAACTGAATAGGTCTGAATCTGCCCACCAAGTCTTACCATGGGATTTATCAAGTGTGGGAATATTACACCAAACAGACAATAAGAGGAGGGCAAAGAAGGATTCCCCTGAGAGCAAGAGGGCCTCTCTTAAGTATAAGACACTTTCAAAAGTAGGCACAGGGGAACAGGTCAGGAGAACTGACAGAAAACCTGATGGTAGAAGAATTGAGAGATTCCTTCGCCTCCCAGGCACGTCTGGCTTTTGACTATCAGAGGCTGTTAGTGAAAAGACACCCCTACCAGTCATTCCAAGCATTCAAAATGTGTAGAACCATAACCGTCCAAAGGCCAGATGAACAATAACTGGGCTGAAAAAAATCCTCTCAAATGCAGGAAATGGGGGGCAGGATTTGAGAATAAAGAGAACTCACCAACCACCAAAAAACCTCATGGCAACTTGGTTTACACAAGAGAGAGAACTCCCAACATTGCAAAATTTGGCAGCTCTACTGGGAAGGAATGGCAGATTCCTAAAATCTCACCAGTGCTCAGGTCTCAAATCCTGCTGAAGAAAAAGTTCTAAACCACCCCTCAAAACATTTGGAGCCAGTGATGAACTGAAACAAACTGAAACTGCACCAAACCTGAAACCCAGCTCAATCACAGATAAGACTGGTTAATCTCACACTACAGGTAAAACCTATTAACTCCATACGGCAGGTAAGATTGGTTTACTCCATACTCTATCAGTTTTACAGGAAAAGGGGAGTACCCCCTTCTGGAGGTAAATATTGTTTACTTCATTCTCTACTGTTCCTTCTGAGAAAAATGGCTAAAACACATTCAAAGATTAGCAAACACACTGACAATAATAAAATGTGACAGGAGAGAAAAGTATTAACAGAAGCAGATTCAGATTTGGCCTAGATTTTGGAATTCCCAGAGACTTTAAAAATCTATAACAAAAATGCTAAAAATGAAAGACTTTAAAGAACAACAGGCATAAACAAATGGAAAACTTCAGAGACTTTAAAAATCTACAACAAAAATGCCAAAAATGAAAGAATCTAAAGGACAACATGCATAAACAAATGAAAAACTTCAGCAGAGACCGGGAAACTATTAAAAGAACTAGTGAAAATTCCAGAGATGAAAAATACAACATCAGAAATGAAGGCTTAGATCTATAACATTGTGGGCACAACAGAGACAGCAATCAGTAAAGACAGGTAATAGAAAATGCCTGTTTGAAACATGTAGAGAAGAAAAACTGAAAAGAAAAAAAAAAAAAGAACAAGGAGTCCGATATTTGGAAGGTGATACCAAATGCTCTAACATAAATGTTACGGTAATTCTAGAAGGGCAAAAGAGGTATTTGAAGATATAATGACTAAAAATATTCCCAAATTGATGAAAGACGTCAATGCACAGATCCAAGCAGCTCAGCAAACTCCCAGTAAATAAATACAAAGGAAATGCTACACCTAAACGTTTCACTCAAACTGCTGAAAGCCAAAGATAAAGAGATATTACAAGTAGCCAGAGTAAAAACAGGACATTACTGACAGGGGAACAATGATAAGAGTGGTGGCTAATTTCTTACCAGAAACAATGTAAAATTGAGCACAATGGAGTCACCCATACGAGAGTTCCAGGTCACCAAACCTAAACTAAGTTGTTCTCTGACCTTTCCAGAAATCAGGAGAAAGAGAGATGACAGCCCATTTCCCAAATGGGCCAGCTTAAATCTTTAATCAGCATGACGATGAAGTTCCTCTGCTTTAATCCTTACGCTAAAAAAGGTAGCCTAAAGTAACCAGATGTTAATGAGTTATTTTTCTGTTGCTCTGTCTAAAGTAATTAGTATACTTTTTGTTCTTTGTTTCTTCTTTCTTCAGTCCTTCTCTGTCTTTGTAAAACCAACCTCTGCTGCTCAGCTTATTGGAACATTTATTCTATTTGATGAAATGAAGTGTTGCTCAATGTTAGAATTGCAATTGAGATCTTTCAACTTGTGATTTTGTCTTTAGACATAGCTAACGAGGAACAGATCAGGAACAACTGCACTTCCCTGGGGCTGTCGGGATGGATCAGAAGAGGTAGGATGAAGACAGCAAGAGCCAGGAGGCTTCAGCTGTGAATCACGTAGGAGGGCATGGAGCTTAAACTAACTTCTTTCTTTCTTTCTTTCTTTCCTTCCTTCCTTCCTTCCTTCCTTCCTTCCTTCCTTCCTTCCTTCCTCTCTCTCTTTCTTTCTTTCTGAGACAGGGTCTCACTCTGTCACTCAGGCTGGAGAGCAGTGCTGTGATCTCAGCTCACTGCAACCTCTACCTTCCATGCTTGAGCTATCCTCCCACCTCAGCCTCCTGAGTAGCTGGGACTACAGGTGCTTGCTACCACGCTTGGCTAATTTTTGTATTTTTTGTAGAGATGGGGTTTCACTACGTTGGCCAGGCTAGTCTCAAACTCCTGAACTCAAGTGACACCCTCCTTGGCCTCCCAGATTGCTAGGATTATGGGCATGAACAACTGTACTCGGCCACCATTATTATAAGGCTCTTATATTGTTCCTAAAATGATATATTATTATTTGAAGTTAGACTGTGATAAAGATGCATATCATAATCCCTAGAGAAACTGCTAAAATAATAAAACAGAAGAGAAGCTAAAAAGTTAATAGAGAAAATAATATACACCAAAATATAATCAACCGATACAAAAGAAAGCCAGAGAGGAGGAAGAGAGGAACAAAGAACAAATAAGATCAATAGAAAACAAACAGCAAAATGAGACACTTAAATCCAACCAGATAAATAATTACATTAATTTGTAAGTTGATTAGACACTCCAGTTAAAGTGTCAGAGAATGTTAGACTGGATAAAGAAGCAGAGTTCATCAGTACACTGTATAGAAGAAACGCATTGTACATATAGAAACAGACAGGTTGACATTTTTTAAAAGAGGAAAAGATACACAATACAAACATTAAGCATAAGAAAGCTACTGTGGCTATATAAATATCAGATAAAGTGGGCTTCAAGATAAAGGGCATCTATGGTGATAAATAGGGATTTTGGAGTGATAGAAAGGTGAATCCACCCAAGAAGACATAACAAACTTAAGTGTGTACTCATTTAATAACAGAGCTTCAAAATCTATGAAGTAAAAACTGACAGAACTAAATGAGAAATAGACAAATCCACAGTTAAACTGGAGATTTTAAGAATCTAAATTTCAAAATCATGATCAGTCAACTTGACCCAATGAATACTTTTTATCACTAAATATACTCAATTGCATTTTAAAAACAATTATTTAAAAAATTAGAGACAGGGTCTCACTGTGTTGCCCAGGCTGGTCTCAAACTCCTAGGCTCAAGCAGTCCTCTTGCCTTGGCCTCCCAAAGTGCTGAGATTACAGGTGTGAGCCACTGCACCTGGCCTCAATGCACTTCTGTTTTGGCTTAATTGAGGTGTAATATATAATAAAATTCACCCATTTTAAATGATCAGTTTGATGGAATTTAATAATTATATGCAACTGTATTACCATCACCACAGTCAATAGGACACAGCTGTTACCCTGTACGTTTCCTCATGGTCTTTCCGATTGATCTTTTGACCCCCATTGCTTGGCAATCACTGATCTGGTTTCTGTAACTAAATTTTGCCTCCTCTAACCCTTCATATAAATATAATTATACAGTATGTAGTTTTTTGTGTGCTCAGCTTCTTTCATATAGCATAATAGTTTTTAAAAAATATTTATCTATAGTGTTGCATGTATCAATATTCCAGAGTAACTACCACCCAGCAGTAACAAGGACACCAGCCTCCTGCTGTGTCAATGGAAGCCACGTGGGGAGCAAAAACGAGGCACTCCTACTCCTCCAGCCAGGGAGGTATCAGGAGAGGGCTTATGGGAGCTAAACTCTCAGCACTCCCCAGCAGTAATGCACCCCCTGAAATGGTTTCAGTGTTTGTCCTGTCCAAATCACATGTTGAAATATAATCCCCAATGTTGGAGTTGGGGCCTGGTGGGAAGTGTTTGGGTCACGGAGTTGGATCTCTCATGACTTGGTGCTGTCCTTGAGATGTGAGTTCTCATGAATATGGTTGTTTAAGCGTGTGGCACTTCCCCTCACCGCCTTGCTCCTGCTCTGGTCGTGTGATGTGCCTGCTCTTGTTTCATTTTCTGCCATGAGTAAAAGCTCCCTGAGGCCTCCCCAGAGGCCAAGCAGATGCCAGCACCATGCTTCCTCTACAGCCTTCAGAACCATGAGCCAGTTGAACCTATTTTCTTTATAAATTACTCAGCCTCACATATTTCTTAATAGCAATGCAAGAACGGCCTAGCACCCCCTTCCACCCCCTCGACCTCAGATATGAATGGAGTATGAAATAGGGAACTTGGACTTCTACTTCCATCTGGTGGTAATTAGGTGACACCCCCATTTCCTTTGTGAGGGCACTGAAACAAGTCAGCAAAAACAGAAGGTTTAAATAAGAGCCAAAATCTTATAATACAATATCCAAAATGTCCAAGTTCCAAATAAAAGTCACTTGTTGTGTAAGAGAAGTGTCTCAAACTGACTTTTTTTTTTGAGACAGTGTCTCACTCTGTTACCCAGGCTGGAATGCAGTGAGTGGTGCAATCTTGGCTCACTGCAATTTCTTCCTCCCGGGTTCAAATGATTTTCTGCCTCAGCCTCCTGAGTAGCCAGTATTACAAGTGTGCCATCACACCCAGCTACTTCCTGGAAGTAGAAGCCTTATCTTACAAGCCAGTGCCCTCTGATGATGCCTCAGATGATGGTAAAAGTTTTTTTGTTCTTTTTTTTTTTTTGTATTTTTAGTAGAGATGAGGTTTTGCCATGCTGACCAGGCTGGTAAAACTGCCTTTTGATGATAGATGCTTAATATCAAGATGACAGTGATGGTGTCGCACTGGAAACAAATGAAAAAAGTAGAAACTTCAGCAAAGAAACAGAAGACTTAGCAAAGTAATAGAAAACACAAAGAAGATGTATAACTGAAAAATATCATTAAAAGAAGAAACACAACGGATGGGTTCAACAGCAAGTGGAGAGGGCAGAAGGATCAGTGAACTGGGTCGCAGAACAATGTTAATTACACAACGTGAACCACAGAGACAGAATAGACTGAAAGCAAGTAGAGCTGCAGGGACCGGGAGTTACAGCACAGCATCTAACATCTGTGTCACCGGAATTATGGAAGGAGAGGAAAAAGAGGGTGGGCATCAAATTATTCAAAGAAATAATGGCTGAAAACTTCCTGAATTTGGCCATATATAAAAAAATCTACAGACCTAAGAAGCTGAGTGAACTCCAAATATTACTAGGACAAGCCGAAGAAATCCACACCAAGACATTCATGGCCAAACTTCTCAAAACAAAAGACAAAAAATCTTGAAAAAGATTTTTTTCAAGAGAAAGAGAAATGAACCTTACCTACGGGGAAGAAATAATTCCAGTGACATCAGATTTTTCACCAGAGACCGTGGAGGCCAGAAAGTAGGTGTATAACATTTCTCAAGTGCTGAAAGAAAGTAGCAGAATTTTATATCCACTGAAAATAGGAACCAAGGGGAAATCAAGACCTTCTCGGATGATGGAAAACTAAAAGAATTTGTTGCCTGCAGACCTAGTCTCAAAGGATGATTAAAGGAAGTTTTGGCCGGGCACAGTGGCTCTCACCTATAATCCCAGCATTTTGTGAGGCCAAGGTGGGCGGATCACCTGAGGTCAGGAGTTCAAGATCAGCCTGCCCAACATGGTGAAATCCCGTCTCTACTAAAAATGCAAAAAATTAGCTGGTCATGGAGGCGGGCACCTGTAATCCCAGCTACTCAGGAGGCTGAGGCAGGAGAATCACTTGAACCCAGGAGGTGGAGGTTGCAGTGAGCCAAGATGGCATCATTGCACTCCAGTCTGGGCAAACAGGAGCAAAACACCATCTCAAAAAATATATATATATATTTGATAGTTAAAGAAAAGTTAGAACACTGATGTAGTTCTAAATGTGTGTAGAGAAAATATTGAAAGCACTGTTTTAAACTGGGTAGGGTAAAGGGGCATGAAGTAAGGTTTCTATACTTTGCTGGAATTGGTAAAATGGCGATACCAGTGGATTATCTTTTAAGTTATGTACATGCAATGTAATACCTAGAGCAATTACTAAAAAAGGCCATACAAACGACAAAAACCTAAATGCTAAAAAAACGGACAAAGGCCCTGGCTAGGCATTTCTCCAGGGAAGACATACAGATGTTCAACATCAATCATCATTAGAGAAACGCACATCAAAATCACAATAAGATACCACTTCACACCTATTAGGATGGCTATTACTTAAAAAATCGCAGAAAATAAGTGTTGGTGAGGATTTGATGAAACTGGAAACTTTGTGCACTGTTTGTGGGAATGTAAAATGGTGCGGCCTCTGTGAAAAACTGTATGGCCATTTCTCAATCACAATTTTTAAAAGGCACAAAATTACCTTATGATCCAGCAATTCCCCTTCTGGGTATATACCCAAAAGAACTGAAAGCAGGAACTTAGACAGATATTCTTTGTATATCCATGTTTATAGCTGCATTACTCACAATAGCCAAAAGGTAGAAACAACTCAATGTTTATCAACAAATAAATGGATAAACACGATATGGTATATCCACACAACAGAATATTATTCAGCCTTAAAAAGCAATTGTGACACACTACAACATGGATGAAACTTAGGGACACAAAGCTAGTCACGAAAGGATAAATTTACATGATGCTGCTTATATGAGCTATCCAGATGAATCAAATTTAAAGAGACAGAAAGCAGAATGATGGGTTCCAGAGGCTGCGGGAGGAGAGAATGAAGTTATTTTGTAATGAATTCAGAGTTTCAAAACTATAAAATTTCTGACAAGCTTATCCAACCTGCCTTATTTTGTTCTTTTTTATTCTTCCTTTTTTTTTAGGCTTTTAGCAGCCCGAAGCCATGGTTTTAGTTTCCGTCCCTAGTGATGAGTGGAAAAGAGGGATGAGAAAGGGGTTTTACTGGCCCAACCAGAAACAGAAACTAACAACCCATGACTGTATTCGCTCCCTTGGACACCTCTGTGAGAACCAAACAATCTAAACCTCAGACAAACTTTTTGGGATCTAAGGCTATGCAGAGAGCTTAACCCCAAAAGCATGATCCGAAGGAAAATCTGATAAATTTAACTACATCAAACTTAGAAACATTTGCTTGGTGAAATATAGTTAGAGGCTGAAAAGACAAGCTACAGATGGGGAAAAATAGTTGCACACAACATCTGACAAAGGACTGCTATCGAGAATTTGCAAAGAACTCTCAAAACTCAATATCTAGAATTTGCAAAGAACTCTCAAAACTCAATATCTAGAATTTGCAAAGAACTCTCAAAACTCAATATCTAGAATTTGCAAAGAACTCTCAAAACTCAATATCTAGAATTTGCAAAGAACTCTCAAAACTCAAATATCTAGAATTTGCAAAGAACTCTCAAAACTCACCAGTGGAAAAAAAAAAGCAAATAATACAATTAGAAAATGAGTAAATGACAGGAAGAGATAGATCACCAAAGAGGATATAGAGATGGCAAATTAGCACGTGAAAAGATGGTAAACATCACTAACCATTAGGGAAATAGAAATTAAAGCCACAATGAGCTATCACTACATCCCTATCAGAACGGATAAAAATTAAAAAAAAAAAAAGCGACAACACCAAAGTTTGGCAAAGATGCAGAGAAATTGGATGATTCATACGTTGTTGATGGAAATGCAAAATAGTGCAATCACTTTGGAAAACAGTTTGACAGTGTCTTACAAAGCTAAGGATGCAATTATCGGGCAACCTAGCAGTTGCACTCCTGTATGTTTAGCTGAGAGTAAATAGAAGTGACTCACCCACCTTAAAATAAGAATAGGCCAGGCAAAGTGGCTCACGCCTGTAATCTCAGCACTTTGGGAGGCTGAGGTGGGCGGATCACAAGGTCAGGAGTTCGAGACCAGCCTGACCAACATGATGAAACCCCATCTCTACTAAAAATACAAAAATTAATCAAGTGTGGTGGTGCACACCTATAATCACAGCTGCCAGAGGCTGAGGCAGGACAATCTCTTGAACTCAGGAGGCAGAGGTTGCAGTGAGCAGAGATCACGCGACTGCACTCCAGCCTGGGCAACAGAGTGAGACTCCATTTCAAAAAAATAAAATAAAATAAGAATAACTCATCAACAGCAACTCATCAATAATGCTCATTGAGTACCTGCTCTGCCTGACACTGTTAATCACATTACATGTGTTATCTCATTTAAACTTCCTAACAAATCTCTTGTCTGGTGTAGACTATTTTTTAAAATTTAACTTTAAAGTTCAGGGTTACGTTTACAGGTTTGTTGCATAGGTGAACTTGTGTCATGGGGATTTGTTGTACGGATTATTTCATCATCCAGGTATTAAGCTTAGTACCCATTAGTTATTTTTCCTGATCCTCTCTCTCCTCCCACCCTCCAGCCTCTGATAGGCCCCAGTGTGTGTTGTTCCCCTCTCTGTGTCCATGTGTTCTCATCATGTAGCTCCCGCTTATAAGAGAGAACATGCGGTATTTGGTTTTCTGTTCCTGTGTTAGTTTGCTAAGGATAATGGCCTCCAGCTCCATCTATGTTCCTGCAAAAAACTTGATGTCCTTCTTTTTTATGGCTGCATAGTACTCCAGGGTATAGACCATTATTCTCACCACTCCACTTTCAGCCTCAGAGGCTGCTGTTTAAGGCCACGCAGTTAGCAAGTGGCAGTGCCAGGATTTGAACCCGGGTAATAGGAGCAGGCGCCTTAATCCTTGCCTTGTCATCCTCAGCCCTCTCATAGCAGAGTAAACAGAGGCGAGGAGAGGACAAGCCAGCTGCCCCAGCCCACATTGCTGGGAGGCCGCGAGGGTGAGACCCAAGGCCACGCTCCCCTGCGGCTGGGGTCCCGGTTCTCTAGTTCTGCCTGACTTCCCCCAACGTTCCCGCGCCTCTTTCACCCAGTCCCAGGGCCCCAGGCACCACCCTTTTCCTCCGGGAGGAGCAGGGAGAGGGCGGGTTCCCCGGCGCAGTCCCCTCCTCGACCCTCCCCCAGGCTTTAAGCAGGCGCCGGGGCCAGGCGGAGCAGTCCCGGGCCGGCCCGCTCCGCCCGGAGATCGCGCTGATGGCTGCGCTGGCGGCGGCGGCCAAGAAGGTGTGGAGCGCGCGGCGGCTGCTGGTGCTGCTGTTCACGCCGCTCGCGCTGCTGCCGGTGGTCTTCGCCCTCCCGCCCAAGGTAACACCTCCTCCGGCTGTGCGCCCCCAATCCGCCACGGACGGGATCCTCTTCTCCCAAGCCTCCAAGTTGGGATACCGCTGAGGTCCCGGTGTAGACAGGCTCCGCCGGACCCCTCGCCCGCCCTCCCTTGCACCGGACTGCTATAAACGCTCCTAACGTCTCTTTCCTCTTCCCAGTTGCTCCTTAGACCTTGAGTCCCACCTGCCTTCTGGATCTCACTTCCATGGGATAGTGTAATAATTTCTTTTTGCCTTAGAGACAGGGTCTTTCTTGTCACCCAGGCTGGAGTGCAGTGGTGTGATCATAGTTCACTGCAACCTCCAACTCCTGGGCTCAAGCCATCCTCCTTCTGCAGCCTCCCTAGTGGCTAGAACTACAGGTGCATCCCCAGCTAATTTTTTTTAAACATATAGATAGGGTTTCGCTATGTTGTCCAGGCTGGTCTCGACTCAAGAAATTCTCCCACCTTGGCCTCCCAAAGTGCTGGGATTACAGGCGTGAGCCACTGTGCCCAGCAGAGTTCTTTCTTTCCTGAGCTCTAACTCTGTGCTTCGTGCTGTGTTGCACATTTTACCTGACAATCACAATGAACCCTTACTGTGTGCCAAGCTGTGTGACCTGGGGCAAGTCACTTAACCTCTTTGAACTTCAGTTTACTCATGTGTAAAAATGGGGGAAATGATAGTGCCCACCCACAGTGCAGTGGTGAATATCAATGAGGCAATATAAATAAATCTCTTAGAACAAAACCTGGTACGGTGTAAATGCCTAATAAGCAGTGGCTGGTAGTTTTCTGCACCAGGTCTTTACATTATGAGGACGGTAAGATTCATGGGTGCTTACCAGGAGTGAGAATTTGCCTTTGTGTATCATTTTATTTAATCCTTTCGATGCCTCTCAGAGGGGAAAGATTATTTGACCCATTTTCCTGAAGAGAAAACCAAGGCTCAGAGAGAGAAAGTGACTTCAAGAGGTTAAGTGACTTGCCCCAGGTCACACAACAAGTATCTATGTCGGTATTCACTCCCCAGCTTGTTGGAATCCAGAACTCTAGCTGTTTTCAGTCTCTCCAAGAAAGTAATCCCTGTAAGATCAAAGGCTACAGGTGGAGTTCAGAGTCATAACTGAAATCATCACGGGGGGGGCTGGAAGGAGATGGTCCCACAGGTCCCTTCTGGGTTCTTCACCTGTGCCAGTCCATCCAGGGTATCATGAGAGGGCACTAGGCTTGCAAAATAAGGCTTCTACCTCCAGGAAGTTGCTTCACTATCTCTCAGTGAGATATTACATGTTCACAAAAAGTAAAGAGGTGTAATTTAGCGGTGCATTACCCAGCACCGATCAGCTGAGGCCAGGAAAGTTCTGGAAGAAGGAGCCCTCCTTGAGCACATGGAGTAAGAAGGTGACACCAGGTGGTTCCGAGGAGACCCAGGGCTAACACACAAACAGTTTCTTTAGTGTGGAATTACCTAAGCTATTAGACTTTCTCGACATGGAGAAAAAAAAAATAAATGATGGAATAAGGATGAGGCCACCTTTTCCAAAACCTGCCCACCCCGGGCCACTTTCTGACCTGCAGATCTTGGAATCTTGGATCAATCTCCTTTCCTCTTTGGGTCCTGCTTTTCTTCTCTATAAACCGGAGCGATCACGACACTAGCTTCTGGGATTGATGTGAGGGGTTGAGTAAGGCTTTGCAAAACATCTTTGGTGGAAGTGTGGGTGGCTGAGCCTTGACTGATTGCTGTCTGTGAGGCCATTGGCAGAGCTCTCCGGCAAGAAGAAATGAAACACAGGGTGTCTATTCTCAGCAGGGGTCCCGATGGCTTCTCTCTGCTCTGTTCTCTAGGAAGAGCATGAGCCCAGGAGCAGATCTGAGGGTTATGGGGCCTGGAACATTCAGTACAAGGCTTGGGAGAGGCTCTGAAGCTTGAGCTTCACAAGGTATCCTCTTCCCAGCTGAACCCCAATGTGCACAACTGAATGGAAGGCAGGGAGAGATAACAGGGAGAGCCTCTGGGATGTAACACTCCCCCCCACCACCGATGGTGCTAAGACTGACGAGGAAGGTGTTTTATTGAATGCTTAGCTCTTACCATGCACTAGGAGTTTGTCAGTCTTGTCCCATGTAATCCCCACAACAACCAGAGAGGCAGCTGTTATTTGCATCCCTGTTTGACAGGTGAAGAAATGGAAGCTCAGCAGGGTTAAGTGACTTGCTTAAGGTCACACAGCTGCTAAGCCAGAATGTAGAGTCTGTACTTTTTTTTTTTTTTTAATTTTGTGATAGGGTCTTGGTCTGTCACCCAGGCTGGAGTGCAGTGGCACAATCTCTGCTCACTGCAACCTCTGTCTTCCAGGCTCAAGCCATCCTCCTGCCTCAGCCTCCCAAGTAGCTGGGACTATAGGCTCCTGCCACTACACCCAGCTAATTTTTACATTTTTAGTAGAGATAGGGTTTCCCTATGTCACTCAGGCTGGTCTCGAGCTCCTGGACTCAATCCACCAGCCTCGGCCTCCCAAAGTGCTATAGACAGGCAAGAGTCTATACTTCTTTCTAACTGCCGTGCCTTACATGCTCTTCTTAGTTATAATTCAATACAAACCACTCCTTTGTTTCCTATGGTTCCCTTGTGGGGACTCTATGTGGTTCTAGATGTCACTGCCTCTGTAAGTGGTTGATGAACCAGGGCCTTCTCCCAGGAGGCAGGTCTGACTGCTTGGAGGACCTTAGCCTCCCTCAAAATCTCTATTGGCATACCCGAAGCCCCCTCTCCCATATAATAATATTTATATGATTATCATTATTAGATTCTCTGACATTAAGAACAGACGTGTTTCTCAATCTAATATACAATGTGAATAAAAAGTATCCTTAGAAAACATTGCCCTCTTTATTGATCTGGGACATACATTTAACCCATTTCACATTTAGAAAAAAAAAAAAGTGCAGCTGACGGCCAGTGCAGTATTCTTGGGGTGAAACAGGAAATGGGTTAAAGCAAGCACAGTAGGTTTGCTCTGCATATGGAGCTTCAAGACAATCCTGGTTATCTTAACCAGTCACTCCCTGTGATAGCCTCCCAAACAGAGGCTGGTGGACTAACTTCCAAACATGCTTGCTGGGCAATTCAAAACAGTTGTCCTCAGGTCCACTCCAACTTTGGATTGCCACTTCTCAGCCTCTTCCACGTGGGTATTCTGGCGCCACAAATGCAGGTTGTATTGTACACATCAGTTACTAAAAGCTTTCGAAGTTGCGGATATCAGATCAGGAAAGAAGTTGGAGATGCTTGGTCATGTGTCATTTCCCAGGCAGTGTGGAATAGGAGACAAGCCCTCTTTGGGGCCTGGTTTTCCTGCTTGGTGACAGCTCCTATCCATTGCTGCTTTGCTGTCATAGGAGTCTGTGTGGTCAAGAGGGTTGGTTCTCCTGCACCTGTGTCTGGTGACTGGTGAGCTGGTCTGCAGGGAGGCTGGAGTCAATCCGCAGAGCAGAGCTGGAACAATTCTTACATTATGTCCTCTGGCTCAGAAATGCTGTCAGCAGGGATGAAAAGGAGTGGGATGAGCTCTGGAATGCATGGCTGCCACTTCCAGTGCCATTAGGGATCCCGGCTCTTGCTACTGAAGAGTGCTGGGGGCTCAGGAAGCTGGGATTCTACCCCAGCTTTAGACTACATTAACATTTTCCAAGAATGGCCATCCTGGGAGTTAGAGGTTTGGGGAGTGATCTTAGCTAGTGGGCACAGATGAGACTGTTATATATAAATAAACTCCAGCCCCACATGTTTGCAGAGAAGTCTTGCCCTCTTTCCTGCCTTGAGTTTGGGGATGTTGGTGGCAAGGCTGCTACAGAGTGTTGTGCAAGTTGGGCACTGGACAAGGTGCTTGCAAGTAAGGCTGAACCAGCTGGCATTCCCGCGTCAAGCTGCACATCCTGGTGCAGAGCTGGATCCACCTGACAAAGGACTTTTTTTTCTAATTTGCACAAAGGTGTCACGTGGGTTAGCAGCAGCCTTGCCCTGGGGTAGAGATCTTGTGGAGGGATGGTAGTACACCGTTAAGGTCAGACTTTTGCCCAATTTGTGGGCAGGTAGATGACCAGGAAGTTGGTCCTTTCATTCCCAGTTTTGAGGCTTTGGAATCAGAACTGCATTCACATTCCACATACTTGCTGGGCAAGTCATTTTATGTCTCTGGCCTTAGATTCTTCATTTATAACAATATTATATTCCTTCCCAGTTATTTTCTGGGCTCAATGAGTTAGTACATTGCGCCTGTACTATAAGTTCTTATATTCGTATTTAATGCTGAAAGGATGCTTTAGTTCTCTTATTTTGCAGATGAGGAAACTAAGGCTCAGAGAAGTTGAATGATGGAGAGAACATGGGCTTTGAGTTGGGAAGACCTGGATCTGTCTTGGCTCTGAAACTATGAAAGAGGGGAGCCTGGGCTGGAGACCTTAAATTTCTGAGCTTGAGTCTCATTTGTGAAGTGGGGAGGACTCACACCCTCCCATTCTGTTATGAGAATCAGGGGAAGATACAGGAGGTGTCCAGTGCAGTGTCCAGTGCAGTGCCCAGCACATAGTGGGAGTTTATAATTAGAGCAATAGCCACACATTTTTCTCACATTTACCAAATGCTCTTTTACATTCCTTTCCAATTTCAGCTGATTTACTCTTCACATCAGATGTAGAAAGCTCAAACAATAAGTATGCCCATTTTTAGAAATGAGGAAAGTTAAATTCCCAAGGTCACACAGCTACTAAACACGACTTCAGTCACTCCTTCTCCTTTCCTCTTGGTCCTGGATTTTGGAAGAGAGGGTGGCCAGGGTTCAAAGAGGCCCTTGAGTTTTCCCCAGTAGAGGTTTTCCAGAAGAAAACTGCAAGTCCAGCTCTGCGGATTGAGCACCTTCTCTGGCCAGACACTACCTGCTGATTTTAACTGCTATCATCTCATTTGAACCTCAGGGAGCTCAGACGGAATTTT